GTCTGGTATCAGTCTTACCCCAAACTCTGTAGCTCTGCTGCATGCTCTCTCTCTCTCCCTTTCCAGGAGTCCTTTCTGCGATGCTGCATGTCTCTGTTGCTTCTCCGGTTCAGGTCTTATCTGTCCTGGCTCTGTGCCACCGTTTCTCTGGTCAGTGCTGGCTGCTGCTCTGCGCCCATGGAGAAAAACATCTCCCAGCATACTACAGACACTTAGCCCAGTCTAAGACTGTTCCAAGTCTCTGCAATCCCCCCAGCCGGGGGCTGGGAGGGGGCCAGAGGCCCCGAGGGGCTCAGAGCCCCTACCTCGTGGCTCACAACATGGCCACCTCTCCAACAACAACTAAACTACAACTCATCTCTTCTGGTGAGCTTGTGATATGTTTACATTTTTGCAGGAGCGCCCATTGGGCAAAACTTCAAAACTTCCAGGGGTTTCCACCCCTTGGGGTCTACCACTTTTCAGCCTCTGGGGAAAAACCAAGGTCCAAAACACTACATTGGGTTTTTTTAACAAACAACTGCCCAGGAATTAGATAATTCACTTTTTAATGGTTAAACTCATTTCAGGTTTCATACATAATACTGTTTCTAGAGATATATCTGTATTTCACAACATCCTGGCAGTGCTCTACTGCTACCATGTGGAGTTTTTTTGGTTTGGTGTGTTTCTTTTTGGGTTTTTTTACATTCTATTTTTATTTTTTTTTATGTACTTGTGTCTTCAGATGTCCCTTCCTGCTGTAGAACTGCTTACCTTTCTCAGCTTTAAAGCTGATGTTTAAATGTAGCCATTCAGAGCCTCTGGACTTTCGTGTGATTTTTGAAATGATATGACAATGTAGTTTGTCGTAATAACAGCCACTGTAGCATGAAGATAGGTATTTAGTGAGTCAGATGTTGGAAAGAAGCTGCAGCAGAATCCTTGAAAAGGGTAAATGAGAGGGGAAAAGCTCCAAGCACACACTTTTCATTTGGTGAATTATCTTCCCTTGGTAAAAAGCTGTGTTGGCATCCATTGCAGAGGACTGTGGTGAGGATCTGGAGCACTGAGTAATCCCTTTAGATCTTTAGGACTTTGAGGAGATGGCAGTGTCTGTGAGAGACGGGCTGTTTGGAGTAAAGAATCAAAAGCCGAGTCTGGGAAACTGGTTGTGGAGTCTAGACCATGAATATGGAGCCTGAAGAAAGGTCCCTGCAAAGCAGCATCATTCAAGAACATGGAATAACTGGTCTTCATGGATTTTTTGTGGGTTTTTTCCCCCCAGTGAATGCTGCCTTTTTGGTTCCCACTACAAGAGCCTTCCCAGTTCTGTTAATTCTAAATATCCATCTCCCACATGCTCAAGTACCCTGCAATTTCTTCCCCATTAAGGGATCCAAACTCCCAGTGGAGCTCACTGATGGCTTAACTGAAGGAATGTGCTTGTTAATTCACTGTCAGCTGCAAGAAAAATAGGTGAATGTGGCAAGTGTTTCATCCTCCGGGCCCTTTAGACTTCAGTGACATTAGTATTTGAAGAGCTGTTTTGCAAAGAGACTCCAGAGTGTACAGAGATGGCTGGGTTGTCTCAGTCATTCTGAACAGTTTTTGGAATGTTTTTTACATTCAGATCAGTCACTGGAGAACTTTTATTGTGGAATGCACTTTGTGCAGTGACCTCTAGAGAAGACAGAAAAAAATTACGGCAAGACAACAGTCTGTAAGGCAAGGCATCCTTATGGGAACTCATCTGGGAAATAAGATCATTGTCTGTTTTGCTGGTCTGACTAATTTTTTTTTTAATAAGTCTTATCTGGTACCATAATTCCACCTGGCAGTTGTTAACCTGGCCCTTCACAAATTCGCATTACCCCACATCACCAAGACCTATTGCTGATCTACCCCAGGTATAAACAGTCTGGAATTAGGACAGTATTTTTATTGTGGGAATTAGGTAGTACCTTGGAGGTCACAGTTCCAGCTGTAGGCTTGCCCTAGCCTGAAGAAGACTATTGGAATGGTTGAGGACACTAGCAGTATTGCTGTTGCTATGGAGAGGGGAGTTACTTTCCAAGGGCTGGTGGTTCTCAGTGCAGCTTCAGCTCCTGACACCTCACCAGGCAGAGTGGCCTCGGTGCTCTCTGTGTGGACGCAAGGGTGACTGGAGAGGAGACATTTGAAGACTTCTTGGTAGCACTCAGAAGTTGACTTCAAAACCTAAACCTGAGAGACGGAGACTTTTCAAGAGCTTTGTCTAAATAGTTCTGGAGCTGATGCAGAATTAGGTCCTGTTGAGGTGGTGTTTTCCATACCCGGTTCAGCCGTGCCCTCCAGAACCAGAGAGAGAATGATGAAAATTTACACCACGTGCATTTTTTTCTGTAATCAGTGGGAAATATGAATGGCAGGACCTCTTGTTTTATCTCAGTTGAGTGATGAGTGTTCAGCCTTGCCTTGGGGGTGCAGAATGGCAAAAGAGGGTCAGCAGACGATATTTGAACAGGGTTTAAAACTAGTACAGAGTAAACAAGCCATTAGTACTTTTAGAAATGTGTCCTACATGGCCAACCTGATGTTTCTTGCTGATTTCATGCAGTGTGTTTCAGAAAGTAAATATTTATACAGGCTTAATCCGTAAATGTTTATCGTATTTTCACCCTTTGCTCAATAAACATTACTTTTTGACTAAAGCACAGTCACCAAAGTGGACAGAAATCATCATAACAACTGGTCATTAAATTTACAGAACAGATAAAAGTGAAGCTGTTTCACTGAAGGAGTGAGATCAGTGATCAAGCCTTACCACCACATGTGGCGAAACGTCATTTCAGTTTATTCTGCTTCTAACTTCAGCCAAAGGCTCTCCCTCATTCAGAGTTCCTTACAAACCACTGCAGTTGGGAAAACCTGTTAAGTTCTGAATGAGTCACCAAAGCTTTGCTGCCCCTTCAGGGCACCTGTGCAGAGTAAAGCAGGCAGGTGCTACAAGAAGGGGATTTGCTGCTTGGCTGCCCACAGCCTCCTCAGGGCCAACACTGTGCCTTCCAGTTTTTCAGTGAGTATTTCACTATTTCACTGGCACAGTCAGACTCCTCAGAGGTCAAAGGTGTTGCTCAGCTGGGTGCCAAGAGTTAAAATCTTCCACATAAGCTTGTCCAGCAGAATGATGCTGAAAACCTTCTCTGGAAGGTACATTTGATATTTCGTTGGAGAGGGTGTGATTTTCAGAGGATTCAGAGGAAAATATTATGTTTCTGATTTTTCTTTCATTAAATGAATACCTGTTACATATGTCCAAGATATTAGTTACTATTTTTATAGAATGGTTTAAATCAATTCTCCCCTTAGCATCATCTTTTGTAGACATTGGCTAACACATACCTGGTATTTTTTGCTTTTTTTTCTTCTGTAATAATAGCATGCACATCTTGCCTATACTGCACTTCTAAAGAATCTGCATCAGAGATATTTTTAGGTTTGCAATACTAAATGTGATTTGAGCAAATTGTTCCACGTTAGGCTGATTAATATAAAGTCATAACAAGGGGAGTTAAAAACCTTAAAATTAAATACCTCATTTTTCCCAAACCAAAGTATGTTCTCTATACTAATAAAAGTGTCTATTGCAGCTTGAAAAGAGTGATAAATGTGTGCTGCATCAACTCCCATATATTTTTTTGTTGTTTGAAATGCTTTTAACTTGCAGTGAGTGGTCAGTGGTTGTCAGCCCTGGATGTCTGTTGGAAACATTTTCACTAATGCAAACAGGGCAGAATTGCTGTCGGTGTTGTTGAGAGGGTGTTGGATCTCTGTGATCTCTCCTGCATCCTCAGAGGCTGCCAGGCCATTTTCAGTAAACTCCTGGCTGAAACTATTGTTTGGCATCCATGTCAACTCTGAAGTTATTTTTCTAGTGCCAGAGAAGCTGTAGCTATTATTGGTGGCATCTCAAAACTACACTTCAAAAATAGCACTGAATAAGCTTGTGAGAATCTTCTGTGAATGCCAGACTGTTAATCCTGCTTTATGTAAACCATTTTTACTTGTATTTTAAAAGCTTCTAGTTTGTAACACAGTTGTATGCTTTTGTAAGGTTACTTGGGACTTAAATGGAATCAGTCTTACTGTAATGGAACCCAGCTTTTCAGAGTTATTTTTATGTATCTGTTCCAAGTTCTCTGTTTGTTCACTAAATTACTTCTGCAGTGGAGGCATTAAATTTTAGATGCAAAGTCCTGCAGTCCCCTGGAGTCAGGGAAACAGGAATTCTCTGAATAAGCACAAAAGGGGTATGCACACCCCTTTCTTGGGAATGCTCTGTTTAACAAGGTTGTTTGCAGTAAAGCTGAATTTCCCTTTCCCCAAAGGTGCTGTTGACTGTAGTCATAGAATCAAATAGGTTTTAATTCATAGGTGACTGTTACCGCATGTGGGCCATCAGAATTGCTGTGACAAACTTTAGCATGTTTAAGCATCTTTTGACATATCTCATGGTAGCTCTGGAGTTTGTTTCAGGTGATGCTGAATTGAAATCCAGCTTTCTCCTCTTACTGAAGGCTCATGTTCGTCAGACTCACCACCCTTATTGCCAAACTCCTTAGACAGGTGTTCTCATATATTCTCAAACACTTTTCCCTTTCCTGCACTTATATATATCATGTATTAATAAAGGCCCTGTTTAATCCCTTTTTTCTTATTTCTTACTGTCCATATTTCCTCATTCTTTTCTGGACATTGCTCTTCCATGAAACAGCCTTTGCATTCCTGAGTACATTTTGTATTCAAGGGAAGTCTGGCAGAATTTTATCCCTTATCTGCATCAATGTTGATGATGATGATGATGCTGTCAGTCATATTGTATTTGACTTTGAGTCCAAGCCTGAATTTGTCATTTATTTAGTCTTTCCTCTGTACTTTGATCTCAAATGCCATTGACAGATGTGAGAAATATCTCTAATGAAAATTTAGAAGACGACCAAATACAGTGAAACAAAGAGCTTTATTAACAGCGTGCTGGGTGCACGAACTCGTGACCTGGTCCGAGCACCCCGCCGTTTGAAAAACGCGCCCTTTTTTACCCTTTTGGTTACATAAGCTGTTAAATATTCAACAGGTGTAAGGTATTTTACCTTAAAAGGTAATTTTTTGAACTCAGGAGGGGGTGTTACCCTCTCTCCTGATTGATTGATGATGTACTCCTATGTACAGAGGGGGGTCTCTGCGCACCAAGGCCAGCCATGTGGCCAGGGTATATTTTCTATTTTTATATATTTTTTTCCCTACTCCGACCACGATGTTTCCTTGGTGTCATGCCCAGACGGGGCTTTTCACCTTACAGTCTCCACAAGGTGCCTAAAACTCTTGGAATTAAATGAAAGAGAAGAAAGAAATCCCACCAACCCCTGCTTTTCACTAAATTCATTTTGCTTATAATAAAACCAGATTATTTATTTCTCATACAGATTTACTGCTTTATTATTTTGTTTTATTTTGTTGTCAGAGCTTTTGCAAAGTGGGAGAAATAAGTCCCAGATTATCAGAAAGACGATGATAAATTGCAGCAAGTGCAGAGGAAACCCAAAGTTTTCATGAGACTGAATAACGGATGGCCTATGAAGAAAGATTGAAAGACCATTCTTTTGATTACATTGATGATTGAAGGAGAATAGAAGGCTTAGAGGTATTTGAATGGTGTTAACAGCAAAGAAGCAGTTGAGTTACTGTAATACAAAAAACTAAAACTAGAGATATTTGAATTAATTTAATGGAAGGGAAATTTAGGCTGTCCGATAAAACTTTTACATGATGCTAATTGTTGCTTTATGGATTAGTGGTAAGCACATGGTTTCTTGGAATATAAGGGCAGACATAAAGAAAACTAACACAGAAAAATTGGAGCAGTTTCAAGGAAACCACCTGAAGGGTCTCTTCTATCCCTATTTCAGTAGTTCTGTAAAAGAGGTGAGCTTAGATGTTCCAGAAACATTCAGAATGTAATCTCTGTGGTCTTCCTGAATGTCATGAAATACCATGGTTAAATTGCATTTTTGTTAATACTTGCTTCTGTGTTTGGGTACAGTCATTATTTGGGAGAAATAACAATAGAGTAATAGATGAGAGAATTGTCTTAGTTCTTGCACATGGGTGTGGGAAGGAAAGAGAAAGAAAAATTTACTTCTGGGGAGAAACTGAAAGGATGGCAAAATGAAAATGTAGGTATGTTCTGTGAAATAGTGTTTCACTGAAACCTACATGTTCTGTAATCAGTATTGTATTGATCACCACCAAATCCTGACCAGTAATTGAATTCTAGACTGCTGGGGTAGGAGAGAAAAAAATGTAGGAAGAGCAGGATGTGCATACAAAGGGGATATATCCTACTGCTTTCCTTGCATCTTCAGGTGAGGAAACTAAGCTGGTTTTTTCAGTGCTGTCAGTTGACTGATAGGAGAATTTCAGAAGACTAAAGGAGGAATGTTTCTACAGATCAGTAAAATATGAAAAAGTATCAGCATAATTATTTATGGACAACTTTTTTCAAACCTTCTGAAATGGAAATGTCTTGGAGTGTCACTGAATTCAGCAAGGTTTGAGAGCATTAAGTGTCCCACAGAGCCAGGTTTGCCAGGTTTCCGTTTGGTTTGTAGATCTGGTGCCATATCACATCATGGCGAGGCTTCGCGAACGAAGATTTGGGAAGGCTCTATCCACATTTGCTACAGGCACGCTGGTGGCTTATGAGGCCAATACGAGACAGACATATCCGATTGCAAAAGGCACAGCAGAAAGACTCCTTAGGTGGTGTATTCTGCAGGATACGATTCTTTCTACAATTCTTTCTGTGAGATCTGGTGCAGCACAAATGCAAACAGTGCTGCACAGGCCATTTCAGAATCAGTGTTAACTGATTTGTAAGTGGGGCACAAGCACCTCAGGTACCTGGCACAGCTGAGTGGGGAACTGGGAGTGTGACAGGAGGGGAATTGGTTCCTCAGGGTTGTTAACTGCAAAATCCTTCTTGAGAATGAGCTGAAGGTAACAAACTAGGCTGACACTGAAGAGCATCTGGAATCCAACAGCAAAGTGCCTGAACCACAGCATAAGTAATATTAGTGGTTTAAACAGGGACTGCTGGTTTTCTCTTTCTCTGGGTTTTATTTTTTCCCTTTCTTTTTCCAAGACTCTCCCTGTCTGTGTCCCGCTCTGTCTTTCCAAACCTCTTGCAAGAAGCCCCGTGGGGGTGCAGATAACACAGATTCACAGGCACATATGAACAAGGTGTGGTGCTCCTAAAGTTACTCTACCTGCTCTTTTTATTTTTGCGCATTATTGCCCCCTTTTCTGCTTTTGTATGCACATCTCCCTCCAGCACCAGGAGCACTGGAGATCAGCTCTTGGCTGATTCCTAATGATGATTGTTGAGACAACTGGTATGCTTAACTATGCTTAATTAACCTCATGAATGGGCCAAGATGGTGCAGTTATGTTACTGTCCATACATCTAATTGTATTTTGTCACATTTTCAAAAAGCAAAAGAACCTGTAGGATTTAATGAAAATACAGGACATTGGAATTATTTAGTTATTGCTTCCCTTCTCAGTGCTCAACACAAGAGTTCTTCCTGATTGTCAGCACCCTGTCTCGCCTGCACTTGGAAATCCAAGCTCTTGTCCCAGTGCTGCATTCCCATGTGAGATCTCCGCTATTAAAAAGTGCACTGTTGGAAGTCCCAGAGCTTCTCTCTCCAGTACAACATTATTTAAAGATCCTTAATGAAGAAGCAGCCAAGTAAGTAGAGAAAATAGATGAATCTTCTGTGCCTCAAAAGCTTTCTGATTAAGTGTATTCAGTTATGCAAATTATGCATCTTGTTTTAGTACACATTTGTTTTAAATTTTTTATTTTGTATTTATGTACAATAGCTTTTAGTTAAAACATAAGTTGTTGTTATCTATGGCTTATATTCTTTTTTTAAAGTTAAACTAGCTGAGCAAGCATTTTGCCTAGTGGGTGTTTGCCTCAGGCCAAATAACTTTTTAAAATTTTTCATCTATTTTGGACAATGAATTTACAGCGAAAATGTGTTTTGCATTAGAATAAATTGTTTTCACATCTCTTTTTGAAGGGAGACTTGGCCTTTAGCAGAGTGGGTGCTCTGCTGTCAGAAATAAGCCTTTTACTATTTTTGTGACAATTCATTAAAGCTGTCTGCCTTTTTTGTCTTAATTATGTCCTTTGTTGGTCCAAAAAAAATAAAAGGTAGAGGAAGAAGGTGGACTTAATATGCATTATACTGGAGAGTGTCTTCAAATAATTTTTTTGTACTGTTCCTTTGATGACAGATGTGGTATATAGTTCAATATATAATTACATTGGGGCATCCACCTTATTTATAAAACATTTTTTTTCTTTTCCAAACTGGGATTTAAAATTAGATTTAAGAACTGAAGCCTAGAACTTAACTGCATTTGTTTCTGAATGAGAGACAGATCCAAGGTGTATAAATTAAGGCATTGAGAAGGGCAGAAGGATTTGCTCTGCCCATTGCATAGGTGGGATTATGAGATTTCTGCTGATGTATGGTGTCCAATTATAGTTGTGGCAGTTTATGACAAAACTGACTGTATCTAAATTACACCACATTTACTGTAGATTCGAAATACAGGGGTTTTTTTTCTGTCACTGTATTGATCATGGGTACAATAGTATACAAAAATGGTATAAGTAGAAAGATATCATCATTGATCTGCAGAATACATATTTGCACTGATTCAAGATGACTAAAATAACATATCTTTCAGCCTTTATTTATCTCAACTTTATGTGCCAGTATTGTTTTTACTCCAAAACATTTCTTTTATAAAAATCATGAATAGTACTCACATCCATATGTGAGCACACACACTTGTGCAGACACTACATCACATGTTAATTTTGTTATGAGGTGTGGATAAAATCCTGTAGCTGTTTTCAAAAGTATCCCTCTGCTCTAGGGCTTTTTTTATCGAGAGTTGGAGATTTTGGGTTTGTGTTTTTTCTATTTTTAAACTGTCAACTTTAAAATTTTTTGTTGGCATCACATAGCACTGACAGTCTTCACAATCAGCTGCTGGCTACTGGTGATCTTTTTTTTCCCTTTGAATTCCCATGGAAACGGGTCTAATTAGCACAAAATCGTTTCTAAAAATTAGTATTGTATTTTAAAATGGCATCTTTACTATCACTTACATAATGCCAACGAAATGTAATGCAAAGCCAAAGCACAGCTTTGTGTTACCTGCCTGGTCACTGGCTCCAGTTGTAGTTTTATTCCCAGTCAGAGGGGTAGCAGAGTAAGTAGAATATTAGATTTTTTTATTACTTCTATGTTCTAATACTTTCGGTTGGCTAATTACTTGCTCTCAACATATTAGTTTTCAGGGTAATTATGTAATTAATTGGTAGGGGTTTTGTTTGCTCTAAAATACAAAATTGTATTCCAATTAACTTAGTGTTGATTGCACTGCTTTTTATTCTTTGCCTGATACTTAATAGGGTAAGTTAAATTTTTGTTATTTTTGTTGACAACCATGTTTTTAGTAGCTAGTTCAGGTCCCAGATTTTAACCATTTGAATGGCATTCCCTGTTTCAGATGTCAATCCTGAGCTGAGTTAGTGCAGCCAAAATAATTTTGTCATTTTTTCTGACGTTGAAACTAGAAAAGAGCATTGTTTTGCATGTAGTTAAAAGTGCTCGGGTTAATCTTTTCTGGAGAAAACAAGGAAGAGTTTTCTCAGAGCTGCTCTGAGAAAGCCCTGATGGCATTCTGCTTCGATGAGGACCTTGGGGGAGGGGTTTCTTTGCAATTCTCATTAAAATATGCCCAAATTTGGCCAGATTCTAAATATGTTAAAAATCTGTGTGCATGTTATGCAGAAATTATCTAAAGCTTCACATTTAATCATAATAAAGATGTCGTCAGCACTTGGGGTGCTCTGTATGCAAAGTGCCTTTCTATTCATGTCATGAGTATGGCAGCTTTTGGTAAATATGCTGTACCATGACCAAGCACCTGAAAATCTGTATTTAGAAGGAAGTAAAGCTAATGTTAAAACAAATGAGAATAACAAGTTAAAATAAGCAGAATCAGGGAATGTATCTCTGTTTTGACCATTATTTTGTCTTATGCTTTTTATGGATAGGACTGGAGATAAAACCCAGTTGTTCAAGGACCTTACAGACTTCCCTGTCATCAGAAAGAAAAAGGAGGACATCCAGGGTGTGCTTTCTAAAATCCAATTGCATCTGCCAGACATTCGTAAACAGATTAAGAATCCTTTTGCTGAGTATGTTACAGTTTCAGGTCAAGAGGTAATACTGTATTTATTAAAATATGACTGCACCCATTCTTGTCTAGAAAACATCTTAAAAGTGAGACCTACTAGAACTTAGTATGATGCTTGATGAGGTCATTTGACTATAATCTTTTGTCCAACTTTGAAGAACAGTTTTCTTATAGTATGACTCTTACTTGTTAAGACAATTACTTTAGTGATTTAAATAATAGAAACTGCACACATTAGCGCAGTTCAATTTGTTTCAGTGATGCTTCGTTTTTCTATGTATGTAAAAGCACTCATATACTTCCAGGGTTAATTTTGTGACCAGTAAGTGCTGAAATACTCTCAGAGGACCAGAAAGCACAGCATGTAGTTAACTTGGAGAATGGTGGAAGAATTTTTAAGTACTGAGTAAGACTGTAGTTTGAAAGATGGGAGATAAGAGGAACCGTATTAAAGAATGATAAATGTTGTTTGAATTCTAGAAACAGTGCTTTAGACTGGAGCTTTTGTTTGTAGGTGCTGTGCAAGTGTGGGCAGGACATGCTCCAGTGAGCTGAGAAGTTCAGTGGTGAAAAAAGAGATGTCAGATCCTGCAAAATTTGTGGGGGAACTGAGGGGAGCAGTGAGGTAGCACAGCTCAGCACTGTCCTTTGGGAACTGAGAGTAGGAGGGCTGAGAAAACTCCATAGAAAATTGGGAAAAGAAAGGAGTTGGGAAATGGAGAGAAATGGAGAGTAGGGGAGAGGAATGGGTGAGGACAGGGAGGGAAGGAACTGGAATTGGCCCATGGAGGACTTCAGAAAGTGAGAAGGACCCAAGCGACACAGGAGGGAGCAAACCGGCACTGCTGAAATGAGGGAGAATGTGGGAAGGGATGAATTAGAAACAGCAGCCTTTGACAAAGACCTGTTGATGGTGGAGCCGAGAACAGCAAACACGTGGCCCAAGAGTTGCACAGGTTGTCAGCAGAGATACTGAAATTCAGCGGGAAAGTGGAAAAGTGTGTTTGGGTATTGTCTGAGGGAGGAAAGAGCCAGGATTTGAAAAGTTTCTCTCAGGGAGGCTACATTAAGAGTATGTGATGACAGCTGTGTGAAGGCAAGGAAAAGAGAGGAACTGATCAAAGAGAGGAGAAAGCACCTGAGGAAGTACCGAAATGTGGAGTTGATAGGAGGGTTAAAAACCACCAGTCAGTGCAGACATATAAGAGAGCAGGGCATAGCTCAGAAACCATTGCAGATGGAGATGTGTGTTGGTGTATTGGTAAAAGGAGCTCTTATTTCATGATATCTGGTGAGGGTGTCTCAGAGACACCAAAAGGGTCAACAGGGGAAGGGTCAGAGAAAATGGTCAGTGAGGAAAGGAAAGACACCAAAGGAGTAGGAGTAAGGGAAAGGGAATTGTTAGAGAGGAGAAAAACGTAGAAGTAGAACAGGAGTCTGTTTGATTTGAGGTCTTTCTTCCTCAGATGTGTGTGGTATATTCTGCTTACATGCTGATAGATGTAGAATTCAAATGCTTCTTCACAGGAGAAGAGCAATAAGAAGTATTTCAAGACAAATATCTTGAAAGTGTTTTAGGTGAATGAAGAACTCGTCCACCATGCCCTTGCTGGGTTTTTTTGTGCCCATATCAGGACTTTTATTTTTGTTTGTACTTGAGGGTGATTGCTGGCTATTCCAGTGGGCTGTGGAAGGTTTTATCTAAATCGTATTAATTATAATGGAAAAGCTTTGTCAGACCAGCGTCTCATGGATTTCTGTAAATGTGGGCATAGTCTGTGTTAATCTAATCTCTGCAGGTAATTCGTTTTCCAGCTGAATTTTGTGATCAGGAATGCTTCAATTCTCTGACATCCAGGGCCTCAGGCTGGTGTTACAAAGATAACTGACATGAATCATACAAAACATTGCAATAAACACATCACCTATATTTCACTGCACTGAGCATCCTGCCATTACTGGTGGTTTTCCCTGTGCCTCCCTCTCTGCCCCTGAGTTGATTCAAACCTCAAGCAAGGTTCTCTAGATACAGGAGGGTTATGTATGTCATAACCCTTGGTTTTCTGGGGGAGAAAGAACATTAACTTCTGGTCTGCTCAGTCTCTTCAGGCTGAATATTGTTTTCCTCCAATTCATGCAGATTTCTTGATTTATAATGATTATGATTCTCTAGCCTTCCTGACTTCCCATGATGTGTAATATTATTACATTTCTGTTATTTTAGTTTCTGATAGAAGTCAAGAATTCCCATAAATCATCTGTGCCATCTGACTGGGTTATGATTAGTAGGTACGTAAAATATCTTTGAAGTTGTTCTATTTTAATATAGAAGTAAAACCATGCTATTTTGGTATTACAATTAATTACATACACATTCTCATTGCTTCATTTGTTTATGTTTTTTTTTTTAGCTGAACCCAACCGACCACAATTGTAAATTTATTGATCAAAAGCAAACAAAACCAAGCAGAAAAAATGGAGTGCTTAAAGCATTTGTTTTTACACAGTAGATCCTTAGAGCACTGTATTATTTACCTAACCTTTTAAAGTACATGTACTGGTGTTAAAACCATGGTCTTGATTCAGTTGTGCCTGTAGCTTGCATGTGCCAGTGCTTCATAAAATTTTGATTGTTCTTATTTTATTCTAGCAGGTGAAACAGCGATGGACTGAATTATGTAGTTGGCTTTTATTTCCCCTCAGTAATTTATGATTCAGAGGGGGCGAATACCTTAAAGTTATAATGTCCATGTAAATGCTGAATTTTCTACAAGACCCAGTTTGTAATATGTGAGCACAGATATCACAGGTGAACTCTGAAGTGATGTTCTATTAACTTATGCAAGAGTTCAGTATTGAAAGTGCAGAGATTAGACCGAATTAATATGGTGAATGAATTGCAGCTAATCTGGATTCTGTAAAATAATGCCTGGGTACCCCACAGTGAGTCCTTAATGAAAATACATAAACAAATACCAAGTGCCCCAAGTGGAAACTAGCAAGGCACGCTGTATTTACAAAGTTCATTTCAGGCTTGTCATGAAGTTTTCCTTTTTAAAGTAATTTTCTTTGTGTAGTTCATTGTATATGCAACCAGCTACAGAAAAGCCATCCATTTAAGCAGTGTTTTGTGAACAGAGTTTTGTGGAATATGTAAACTTTGATGATATATGCCACATTGTGCAAAACATTTCAGAAGCCTTGTGAGTGGACAGTGGCGTAGTAACTGACCACTTTATTCACACTAAATACCAGTGGAATCAATAGGGTTTGGTACCACAACAAAAGAACGTTTTTTTTTTCTTAATCATCTATTTTCAAGGCTCTCAGTGAGTAAGAAAACTATTCCAATTTTGCATGTAGATGGTGTAGCTGATTGCTTGGTGACCTTGATTTCCTGTTTGGCTTCTCTCTCCCTTCAAGCACAAAAGCTGTGAGCCGCTTCCACTCTCCTTTTATCATAGAAAATTACAGGCATCTGAATCAGCTCCAGGAGAAGCTCATCCTTGACTGCAGCGCTGAGTGGCTGAACTTCTTAGAGTGAGTTTACAAAATACAGCCCGTCCTCATCATTGTATTTGGTTTGGAGTTTGCTGTAAGAGGAGAAAAAGAAAGATGTTTATCTAAAAAGAAGTTCGTAGTTGTCCAGAACAACCTCATAGGTAGTCAATTAAAATGTTGCTTAAAGCAGTTGAAGGCAGGACCTTGAAGTCTGAGTCCTGAGACTAGCAGTGATATCTCTGTATTTTCACATTCTAATGAAAATACACTATTAATTATGTAAGGTGTCTCTCAAAGTTCGAAAACTAATATCACATAAGATATTAGTTTTATTAAGAACAAAATAATAATATAATATTAATACTGTTATTCTAATATATTAATAAATTAATATTAATTCTTTTAAAAATAATTAAGAATCTAAAAGTACAGCTGAGTGAAACTGAATCGAGTAGTTTTATTGTTGAAGTAGTACTACTATTTATTAATATTATATAGTAGTGTTATTATTAATTATATTTTTTACAGTGTCCTGAGTTTGACTATGATTCTTTGCTAGAAAGTAGTGGGAGTTTTATTGTCCCTCACATCTGGAACATCTGTTTGTCTGAGGTCAGAGTTTTTAGTGGTGTAATTTGACTTTTTGGCCAAAGGATGTTTAAAATGGGAGTTTAAAAATTATTTCTGGGACTTCTGAATGCTTTTTTCAGTTGTCCAGTTATCCGTTATTTTTTTACTTCCATGAATTGCAAAGCTGGTGAAATTGTTCCTCTTGTCATGCAATGATAATTTGCAAAAGCTTAGCAAGTCCCCTCTGAAATTGTCTCACTGGATTTGCCCCATAGTGGGAACCCAGCAATTCTCTAAATTTGATAGAAACTAGAAAAACATTCCAATTCGCACTTCTCCGGGTGTGTTTCCTGTGCAGTGCTAAGAAAATGGTTCTCTTCATGTTCCCTTGGCTGTTTTCAATAATGTTGTATAACAGCAGACAACAAGGAAAGACCTGGGTGTAGGAAAGTGCTCTTCTTTCCCACTCCTCCATTCATTTATGTCTTTGTTTATTAAACTTTGCTCCCCTGCTGGTTTTGTATTCTATATTGTACCTTTGAGACTAGGAGAGGGGAGAAGACAAATTCTTGAGGATGAACAGAATGAACTTTACTGAAAACTTTGCTCCCCTGGTAACGTCATTATTGTGCTGGGGAAGCAGTACATAAAATGAAAATTAATTCTTGAGTTTTCTGCTGTAGCAACCATACTTTATTGAAATTGTAGACAACTCCTGTGTCGGACACTCTTTAGTTTGGTTCTTTTCTGATTGTAACTTATGGTTGAAGTTGAACCAGTGATTGGGATTCAGCTGCCACTGTGACAAATTGTGGCATTTTTACAGATCTCATTGAGGCAACTGCTGACTCTTAATATGCTACCTAATGAATTTCATTTTTGTCTGATTTTTTGTGCTTAAAAATAATTCACTCTTAGAATGTCATAAAGTCCATCTTGATTAAGATTGTGTCCTCCTGTTGCAACCTAAATCACTGCTGGGAGATTTGAATTCAGAACGGTTTAGCAACCACAGGAGCTCTGTGAAGAACTTGCATGGAGTGTATTTTGACAATGCTTCTGTATCTGTGCAGAATTATTTTTTTCCCCTTTTCTTCTGTTACTTTTCCCTTTTTTGGTACAGCCATTTCAGTGAACATTATCACTCTGTGTCTAAAGCCATTGGTCACCTAGCAACTGTCGACTGCCTGTTCTCTCTTGCCCTGGTGGCTAAACAAGGAGACTATTGCAGGTAATCAATTTTTAATTTTTATTTGGGATTTTTAACGGAATTATAAGAGGGTATTTAAAATAAATCAGATTTTAATATCTGTACTATGATAAAATGCATTATTAAAATTGTTTACAATAGTTTCAACTTAATCTGATTTTGCCAAACAACACTTCTGGGCAAAACACAAATCTGTAAACATTACAGCTCAAATTTTACATGTTATCTCAAATTAACAAATCAACAAACAAATTATGTTTTTTGTTTGACCTGAGTCTAGTGGATATCTCACTATATATAAATAAATGTTGGACTTTGCATGGACTTCTTTTTCTCTTTTTTTTTTTTCCTCAGCAAGGTCTGAGTTCATAATATCTTTCTACTGCCTCAATTTCTCAGGTATTTGAGGTCTGTTTCAGTGATGTATTTCAGATAAATAATAGATAAATATTAGTTCCAGCTTGTAGAGCAGAGGGGATGCTTCACCTGGGATCCGGTGTGATGAGCTGTGCATCTGCCCCTGCCCAAGACCCGCACATAGGCAAATGAAATCAGCTTACATGTACTTCTGCTGTTATACATCTTTAAACATAATATTGATCACCTCTGGACTCTTGGGATCGCGTGTGCCTCTGTAAAAATCTCTTTGAAAGTAATTGCTCACTTATTTCTGTATACTCAGATGAGAAAACAAACTAAAGTCTGATTAATTCACTGTGCCAGGGTTTAAATAATTCACTGAATTTTAGAATGGCTTAGAGCTTATAAACTAGCTGGAAAGAGACTTCTCAGTGAAACTTCAGCTGCAGGGAAGGTGTCACTAATTAATTTTGGAGAGCTGCTGAAGGAAAGATTAGGACAGTAATACTAAGCATTTTTGAGGAATGTTTTTTGACTCAGTGAGGATTGTTTCCTATAGCTCAACCTCAGGTAGGTAAGTGAGCCAGGTCAGGAGCACAAGTGCTCTGCATAGTTGTGGGTGAGAGCTGAGCACCTCTCACAGTTCAGAGGCATCTGAGGATCCCTGGGTGGGGACACTCTTCCTTTACACAGATTATTTACAGCATCAAGGCTCTCAGGCAGAAACGTTAGAGAGGTAAAGGTGATGGTGTGTGTAGTCCAGAGACCATCATCTGATGTTTGGGTGTCCACTCTCCAGGCTGTGAATGGTTTAAGGGATGCTGTTGAAAAGGTAGTATAAGGCTCAAGATTGTCTATATATTGGTTTCATCTCAGCTATACAACTGCTGGGAAAAAACCTGCCATTATCAGTTTGCATCTGTTTCCCCAGTGCTTTGTGTTTCTAATGTGCCATTTATTTCATCTCCATTTTCCTTCTAAATTGCATACTCCCACTCCCCACATCTTCCCTTTAAAGACCATCCAGAGTATCAGTTCATTTCCAGTCTTAAAATTCTGTGGCTTTATTCCAGTATCCTCTTTTTCCCAGAGCTGCTGCCTCTCTCCCTATAAGTTACTGCTCTTATTTCAGAGTGGTTGTACTTCTGGGGTAGGAAAATGTTGCTGAGACATGGCACCGCATTTACCTCTCCACTGAGTGCTGCAATTCAGTTTACAATGGAAAAGAAAAAGTAGGTTGCAGAGAACAAAAAGAATAGAATTCAGTGGAACATGCTTCTTTTTTGGTTTTTGTTCTGTGAAGAACATTCAGTATTTGGAGATGGAGCTTTTCAGACATGGAGATATGTAGTGAAGAATTAGACGTTACATTAGTAGACTTGTAGACAAATTTGCAGTTAAGGTGGAATTTCCTTATCCAATTTGCTAATATATTCTTTTGTAACCGACTGAAAGTAAGGAAGTCTTTAGAAATGCTTAATGTCAATAATTGATTTTTATAATTTGAGAGTTTTTTTCACAAAAATCTACATCATAGGTGACCCTCCTGCAGGCTTTAGTTGCAGTAAATTATTAGTTACAATAAATTAGAATTAATATATTTTCTTTTTTGCAGACCAGTTGTGCAAGATAATCGGCAAGAAATAATTATTAAAAATGGGAGGCACCCTGTGATTGACTTACTCCTGGGAGAACAGGATCAGTATGTTCCAAATACCACTAACCTTTCAGTAAGTACCAAGATACTTCAAAATCATTCAAGGGAAGGAGTCTGGGATCAGCTTCTTGGCCAGGAAATTAAAATAAGTAATTTAATCATACAACTGTCTGGTTGGTTGCATTTCGGAGAGATATTGCTAGATGTGACCACATCTTTTTTGTCCCTTTCCTGATATCTGGCAGCCAGACGCTCTTTTTACAACCTTGTTCAACCTTAATGGCATAAATAAAAGAAAGGTTATCTCAATATTAGGAAAATGTATGTTTTAAATGGTTATTTTTGAAAAACAAATAATTATGGGGTTTTTAATGGTGTAATCAGAAGGAGTCTTAATTTTGTCAAATCTTTTCTCAAACTTGTGGAGTGTTTTAATACGCAAAATAGATGTGACAGGCTCAGTTTTGCACCTTGATTCTAAGATTGCTCCTGTGTTTTTTTAGGTATTTCTCTACTAAGTGTTTTCCTTTCTTTCTGAAAGTGTTAATGTGATGCAGACTTCTTTTTCCTGATAAACTCTGTCCTTTAAATTACCTGTCCATTTGAGGTTTTTCATTAAATATTTACCTGTCTATATATTTTTTTAAAATATTGTCTGTTCTTAATGAATATTAAAGATATCCTTGCAACTTAACGCTGAGCTCTCTCTGCCTTTTTATATAGTAAATATGGAAAAGGTATGAAACTGCTGTCAGTGTGGAACATTTCTGTGATAAACAGCATTCGAATTTGTATGTATTTCTTGGGAAATATTTTTAAATGCTGTTCTATACTGAACAATGATACAGATATTTTGCAATACTGCAGGGAATGTTTTCGAAATTATTTGTCAACTCCAAACAAGCAACAGATGGCACTTAAAAAAAAATTCAGCATTTCATTCAGTAATCATCATCCAGTTTTCCCTGTTTAGCCCCATTCTTATGTTGGCTTTCTAAATACTGAACATTACAAAATTAAGTGATCATAGCAGAATCACTTTTGCCTCTACTGTTGAGTTTTCTCTTTCTTGAGAGAAGAGGTGGGTAGGAACTAGTGTGGTAAAATGTCTCTAGTTTTCAACTGATGTGTTTGAATCAGCAGGAAAATACATCTCCTGTCATGTTTTCAGATGAAATATTGTCAAATATCTAACTTGAGGAAAAGCTTTCTTGCAGTGCCCTGAAATAAACATATTATTTTTCCATTCCCCTTCTCCTCCACAAATGTTCATGGATTGTTTTAGAACTTTTAACTTTGGCCATGGATTCCAATAAGATGTTGGCTTATGGCTGTGTGCAGTTTTAAGGGCAGATATTGTTGCGTTCCAGATTAAGCTATGAACTGCCCAGTGCAGTTACATTTTTATTTAAGACTTCTTAAAAGCCTTTTGGTTCATTATAACCTCTAATTAGCATCCAGAGAAAGAGTCACACACTCTTATCTGAGAGAAATTCTTTTTAATTTAGTGAGAAAAATAAGATATTTTGGCAAAAGGTTTTTACAGGAGTAAAATACAACCAAGAAAAAAGCATTTCACTAAAACATTCAGCACAAAGACCCATTACACAGGAAACACCCACTAAAAACTATCCATATACCAGCTTTAGTTAAACACAGTTCATTGGTTTTAAGTCACTCACAAGAGAAGGAAAAGAGCAACAGGAGAAAACAGATTAAAAGGGTAAAGAACGAGAAAAGAGAGAAGGGGAGAGAGAAAGGAGAGGACAACAGTTACCGACAAGATTTGGTGATTCACATGGTACCAGCTGGAGGTGGAGAAGAGAGAGACAGGGATACCACATGGAGTCTCATGTATTTCTAGAGTTCAGTTTTCCCTCCCAGGCAGGTTATCCCATCAGCGCTTTCCAGCCCCAGCTGAGTTGTGCTGTAGCCAGTCACAGGCTGCAGGGGTGTGGTGTGGGCGAGCTCTCAGGCAGCTCTGCCTTGACTGACAGCCGGACTGACAAGGCTGCAGGGCCTTCAGCTCTGCCATGTGCTCTGCGCGGGCTGCAGGCCTTGCCTTCAGCTCTGCCCTGTGCCCTCAGCACAGGCCTGATGTGCAGGACTTACCACGGACCTGCAGGTCCAGGGCCAGCCCCTCCCCACATGCGCACACACACTCTCACAGTGAGTTGGTTCTGAGCCATATCAATAATTCACTGAGATTCGTATCCAGTATTTCACAGATGTGTTCTCTGCTCTGATGTAACAGCAGATGTTCTTTCTGAAAACCACAAGATTTGCAAACCAGCCACCAGTGTCACAGCATGGTTGGAGGGAGCCTGGGCAGATTGTGGATTTTAACAGATGAACTCATAAACTCATTCTGATTTTAAATTGTGTTGGTTTGAGCCCGGACAAAGTTTTAGTAGCAGCACTAGAACTATAGCCTGGAGACTAGAATGTTATGCATTTTGTTCTCATACAGTCATGTGCATTTTATTACATTCATCCTTTATTCCCAATTGTGGCATTTTCTGAGTTTTGACTGTATTATGACTTCCGTATGGATGAGGTTTGCTTTACAAAAGCTGAACAGCTTTATACATATAATAAATTCTGATTACCTGTATCTTCTCTGTCTTCTGTACTATGACATAAGTGACAGTCCTATCTGAATTTTATGTGTGTCTCTATAAACAGAATGAAAGCCCCATCAAAAGTCAGATCTGTAAAGATCTTGAGACTTTTTCCATGGAGAGTTTTTTGGTTGTTGTTTTCACAGTGCCTGATCAGTTCCAAGTTTCCCAAGCAGTGTGACTAACACAGCTTGTCCTGCCCTCCATGCCTCTCCCTTGGGGCAGTGGAGTGTGCTGACTTTTGTGAAGTTCATCAGTTGCTGCATTTCTTTGGATGCACCCAGGGGAAAGGAAAAGAGTGCCTGTGTGATGTCCTTGCATAACTTAATTTCCTAGTCTGGATTTGGGCTGTGAGAAAGCTTTATAGATTCATTGATGAGTTTTAATTTTGCATGAGCAATTGTCTGGCACTAGAGTAGGCAGTCATACAGCTGAGATGAGTTCTTGCATCTGATTTAACTTTCTGTGTGGTTTCAGTGGTCAGATACACTTACTGACTGGAGATTGGGTACAGTCTGCTCACAGTATTTGTGTTGCAGTCAAGTATTGCCAAACTCAGCAATGTCTTCGTTTCTTGTTGTATGTAGCCAGTCTGAGTGTACTTATGTCATACCAAGGCAGGCAATTATGAGTGTAAAATCCAGGTCAGGTCTTTGTCTGTCAGATCTCCCCATTTGGCAACGAGAACTCCAGCTGGAGAGGAGTCCAGATCACAGCCAAATTAGGACAGCTCTGGCTATGCTGAGAGCTCATGAGTTTCTGCTTCTCTCCAAAGAAAATTACACAGAATCACAGAATGGTTTGGGTTGGAAGGGACCTCAAAGCTCATCCAGTTCCACCCCTGCCATGGGCAGGGACACGTCCACTATCCCAGGTTGCTCCAAGCCCCATCCTACCTGGCCTTGGACACTTTCAGGGATGGGGCAGCCACAGCTTCTCTGGGCAACCTGTGTGGGGCCTCACAACCCTCACAAGGAATAAATTCCTTCCCAGTATCCCATCCAACACTGTCCTCTGTCAGTTTGAAGTCACTCCCCCTTGTCCTATCACTGCAGACCCTTCTAAACAGTCTCTCTCCATCTTTTCTGTCAGCTCCCTTCAGGTCCTGCAAGGCCACAGTTAGGTCACCCTGGAGCCTTTTCTTCTCCAGTCTGAACAATCCCAATTCTCTCAGCCTTTCCTCACAGCAGAGCTGCTTCATCCCTCTGATCATCTTGGTGCCTTCTCTGGACTCGCTCCAGCAGCTCCATGGCCTTCCTGTGCTGGGGACCAAGTTCTTGGATACTTTCTTAGCTCCTTGATGGAGAAGAGGAAGGTTCCCCCTCACTGTGTCCATTTTGCTCAAGAGCACTCAAAGTTGATTTTGATGCATCTGGGACTTCATAATATCTGGAAAAGTGATGAACAGGAAGTTTAGACCTGCAGACTTCTCCTATATCCTTCTAAGCAGATGCACACACCAGACTTTCTTATGGAAGCACCACATGCAAGAAAAAATATTTGACTTCTCTTTTGTGTTTCCAGGGAGATGGTGAAAGGGTCATGATAATAACTGGGCCTAACATGGGAGGAAAGAGCTCCTACATAAAGCAAGTGGCCTTGATCACAGTCATGGCACAGGTCGGTTCTTATGTTCCTGCGGAGGAAGCGACAATTGGAATTGTGGATGGTATTTTTACCAGGTAATCTTTCAAAACTTGCTGTATGTATATAGAAATGTTACTGTGGCAGGGGTGGGTGTGTGTGTCTGTATATCAAAGCGTAATTTCATTTTTCGTTTAGAACTCCAGAATTTATACCTGAAGTTTCCCTTTTCATTTTAAAGGCATGTATTCATTGTTAGGTTTTGACTCTGATTTTCTGGAAAGCTAATGGTATTTGTATTGTAATCTTTGAATCTTCGAAGGATAACAATTTTAATGTGTATGTCTTAAATAAGATCCAGATATCTAAATCATCTGCCTGAATGGACATCTCAGCCAAGTGTATTCTGCTGGGTGGCAGCCAAATGGTGTTTCCCCTAAAACGAATGTTGTCACCTCTGAAAGTCCTGTCACAGTTTCTGCTGTCAAGTTCAGTTGTATACATTCACAGTATTTGAGATTGAGAATAATGGCAGTTTATTTCAGTCAGTCTCATTTTTGAGGCAGTGCTGAGTAATTTGTAAAGATTATCAGTACAGTCAAAAGTCTGTATTTTATAATCTAATATTACTAAGGTTTATCCCTCTGATTTTCCCACTTTTTCTTTAATAATTTTTTTAATGAGCAAAAATTCTGTGTTACTGATGGTATTTGAGATGGATTTTTATCTGTGGTTATAAGTTTCACAGCAGTCATGTAATCTGTGCTAGAATTTCGTGAAATTCTAGTTCTGTGATGGCAGTAAGCATTCCAGAGTTAACTTTTAATGAGAACCTGAAGTAGTTCTCACCTGGGATTGCTTCATCATATAAATTGAAGTGTTCTTACTCTTCATTGTGTAATGACAAAAATGAATGAAATTGCACCTTGATACAGTTCAGGGCTAAGCAAATTAGAAAACATTTGTATCGTCTGTCCAAAATTCATTGGAGATGAGAATTCAAAATGGTTCACTTCTTTCCCTGCCCTGTGTTGAAAGAAATTAACTGGTTGGTTGGATGAGCATTTTCTCAAGGGGACACAGAGACACACAGGACCTGATTTGCTTTACAGAACAAACATTAAAATGTCACTAACAATTTGAAGATGTTTTTTTTCTTCCTCTGTGTTTTGTAGCTGAACTTCACTTGGGCTCACGCTGACTGAATTTCTAATCATGCAAGTCTGCTACTCTAAACCTGAGTATCTGCTTTCCTCTACTTTTCTTAGACTGTCATAGTAACAGGATGATTTCTGCACAAAACATTTGGAAGTGTGACAGAGTCATTGGGAGAGATATTTTGTTTTGCGCCTGCTTGAAAGAGAACAAATTGGGGTTGTATCTGAGTTCCACCTGTTCCCCAGTGTATTTCCCTGATTCCACACCAAGTATTTTTTCCAACTTTTCTGTTAAAGTAGTGTGGTCGAAGGTAAAAGTTATGCTTTCAGATTTCAAGCCAAGCAGACCTAGAGTGTATTACTGTGTGAGGTTTCAGACCATTTAATTTGTAACCCACTCACACTCTAAAACAACAGATTGATTTTTTTTCCTCCCTGTCTATTAGTTTTGGAAGCTCAGCTGGATATGCCACTCTTCATTTAATGTGAAATGTGTCAAACACCAGATGAATATATGGAAGAATTACTGAAATTCATGTAATTGCACTGGCAATTAAGAGTAAACTAATTGGCTCAATATTAATCAAGAAGAAATTGAAAATACATTATTAAGAAGTAGTTATGCATTAGTTGAAAGGTAGCAGGAAGCAAAAGGGAGAAGGAGTAGCTTACCAGATGTACAAAGACTACAGGAAGTAGACATCTCTGTTTTTGTTTGTTTGGGGCTTTTTGGGGGGTTGGTTTTGTTTTTTTCAGGGTCCTGGAAAGGCCTTAAAGTATGGAACTCTGTCAGGCCAGGTTAATGTGGTGTTGCATTCAGGATATTTCTCAGCCCTAGGAAGTTATCCTTGAAACAGTTTTTAATACCTGCTTTGAGAAAAGAATCAGCAAATGAGCTGCCACATGTTATGTCTTACCTTGAGGTTTAATGCTCTTTTCTAACGTCTCAGCTTTTGCCCTGGACTCTCTGCTGGTAGGGAATGACCTGGAAGAGATCAGAAACTTTCTCTCAACTCACACCCAATTTTACTTTTTTTGTTTTCATCTTCTGTGTTTTGTTTTGGAGGTTGGCTTTGCTTGGATTTTTTTTTCTTATTAGTTGTTTTGATTTTATTTTTTTTAAGAACACAATGACAGCTATGTGGACCTCCTTTCTGCACTGCCACTCCAGCCCACAAGTGTCTTGCTGAAAAATTTTCTTCTTTCTTTTTTTTTTCTTTTTCTTTGTTGTTAATAGCTTTGGTGTATTTTTAATACTTTAAAAACTTTGCATAAGAAGATTTACAAGTTAGTTCTGTCTCTGCTGTGATGAGTTGTTTGTGGGGACTGTTCTTAGTGTCACACCCCTGGGATGCTGTGAGGATGCTGTACAGGCTGCCTCTGCATCAAGGGGTTCTGTGCATCAGGAGCACCAACAGCTCTGCTTGATAGATCTCATAGATCTGAATATTGGTGCTTTATACTGCAGCCACTTTTTTTGTTCATAGGCTGCATCTTCAAACTGTGGATTTATATAGATTTAAGAGATTTGTGTTTCTAGGATTTGTGAGTTGTGTTCCAAAAGGGTTTCCATGGAAATTGAAAGGTTGCCACTATGGTTATTCCTTCTGATATACTGTGTTTGTGTATGGTATCTTCCCTAAATTGACTTTAAATACTGGATTATATTAAACATTTTTAAAGATACAAAAGGAGTTGCTTACAGGTGGAACAAAAATAGGGGTGATCCAGCTTCAATATTAGTGTGTAGACACAAGACTAAGGCTGGTCCAGACATTTGTAATATGGAGGGAGTACACAGTATTTTGAGGAGGTTTGCTGCTTAATATTTGCTTCTTTTTTTTTCCCTTCTCTAATCAGGTTAACGTTTTCTTGCCACCTTTCCTTAAAGAATTTAACTTAATCAGTGTCATTTTATTTAAAAAAATTAGAATGGTTTTGTAAAGGTCAGCACCTGATATGTATTGATTTGAGTATTTAGTTCTCTGATGTTTGAAAATTCCCATCCAAGTTTCTCCTTGCAGCAAATCTTAAAGCAGTTTTTGCTTTAAATTAACCTTCAGGGTTTTTTAGTTCTAATATAGTTATTCAGACATTCAAATTAAAATGTTGTTGCTCTGCATATTTGAGTAGGAAGACAAAGCAAGGGTGGACAGGCAAATATGGAGGAATTAATGAAAGGAATTCTGTTGGCCCAGTCATGCCCTCAGAAACGGTGATGTTTAGCTGCTGAAGAAAGCTGACCTTTAAAGAGGTCCCACTTCCAATTTATTATTGATGGAATTTCTCATAGCCAGAAGACTTCAGCCTAATTCCTGTAGGTCAGCAGTAGCTCCTCATGAGAGTCAATTTTCAAAATTGAGAGAGAATGCTGTAGCACTTTGGAGGCAAAACATGTTCAAATATACAGGCTATTTTAATAATTCAAATTATCAAATGCCTTGATTTCAAAATTTTGAGATCAATTTTTTTGAAATCACTACCGTAAGAAAGAATACTGCAATGGGGAGGAACTCCTGCCAACACTACATGATGCTACAGGGACAAAGAATTTCCTCTTACAGCACTTACCGCCTGGCTTTCTCTTCTTGTGTTGAAATAAAAGCTATTTCACTTACTTCATTGATCAGATGTGAGAAGGCACAGTCACACTACAGTGACCCACGTCTTGCAGTGAGGTTTTATGCCATCAGCCAGGCTGGGAATGCTTTTAAAGCTGCAGGTTCAGTTATCTACACTAATACAGTGCCCTGTGCTTCAAGTACCTTTCAAAACTGCCCCTTGCAAGTGATCTGCCACATGCTTAAAGGTTAAAGGAATGAACAGAGGCATCAGCAGGATGCATGTAGATTATTCTCTCGTGCACTTTATCTCTCCTTGCTGTTTGCAGACTCTCAGCATGACTTGAATTCTCATGGTATCAAACACAGTTTGAATTGTCTGCGAAGGTAAATTAGGAAAACAGAGGGGTGCAGGAGGGTGGCAGTACAGGTTAACAGGTGAGGATGGTGGGTTGCCTAGGTGAGCAGCAGTTCAGTGTTCCCACTCTACCTGACACATGCAGCTGCCTGCACTTTGAGGCCATTGTCTGAGTATAGTCCCTGCACCTCATGTGATCTGCATTTAGGTGTACAAAATTTTGTCCTACATTTTCTCCTTGTAACAGATGATCTAAAGCTATTTTTAACATGGAAGGCACTCCTCATTGCTGAGTCTGTAGTTAGGAGATATAATTTTCCTCAAATTCTACTCTATATCTGAAAATGTTGTGAAAACAGATGGTGATTGCTCACCTTGGCTAGGGAGGGACAGTTTTGTTATTCTAGCTTGTATTACATGTCTATATGCAAAGTCTTTCAGATAGACACAGCCATGGGTGGAATGCTGAATCTCTCTGTTCCAGATTTCAAGCTACAGAGCTGTTTTGGTATTTCTGTTGTCCTTGTATAATGATTTTGAACATGTGTAATGTGCAACTAAAACTTAAACCACAAAAATCTTTGGGCAGCTGACCACTGAAATAATGGAGGACTTTCATTCCCCTCACCTGGCCTTAGTTGGGTCACGCTGTTTCCAGCAACCAAGATTCAGTTCCAGCCATGTACCTTGCCAAGGAGTGGGAACTCTGAGTTGATCAATGGATTCAGTAAAGGGAGGGGATTTTGATCACTGAAAGGGATAACAGAACTACTGAGAGATTTGACAAGTGAAGATCCTGTTGAAAATTGTTTTTGGGGACCTACTCAAGTGAGTAGCTCTGGTCTCTGCTTCGCGTGACCAGGGACAGGACATGAGGGTGGCTGGAGCTGTGTCAGGGGAGGGTTTGGTTGGATTCCAGGAAAAGGTTCTTCCCCCAGAGGGTGGTCGGGCACTGAACAGGCTCCCCAGGGCAGTGGTCACAGCACCAAGGCTGCAGGAGCTCAAGAAGTGTTTGGACATCA